ATTACAAAATTAATAAATGAAATGACACAGAATAACATAACAGGATTAGTTCACTGATAAAATACTTGAACCAATATGTTTTTATGTAATTTTTCTATTAAGAAACTCTAAACTTCTAAATAAAAAAAATTTCCAATTAAAATACTGTGTAGTTTATTATTTATCACCATGTTCAGTTAAGGATACATAGTACAACAGACTTTTGTAATGAATCTTTATAATGTTTATGACATTTCTAGAGTTAACATTTGAACAAATATTTTCATATGATTTTTAAAAAATATTTATTTTTAGTTGTAATTGTATAGTATTATTACAATTATTCATGTTTTTAGAAATTTAAACAGTAATGTTTATAAGGTATTGAAATGTTGCAAAACTTGCAAGTATAATGTAATTATTAATTATAAATTCTTTACAATATGATGTAAAACAGATTTTAAAAAATTATTGCATTACAAATAAATTATTTTTTCCCAAAAATATTTGTCTGAATACATGAACTGCTATTTTTCTACATAAAACATAATTTTTTATATTTTAATCGTTTGTATATAAAAATGAATTTGATAATTATTTTGTTTTTAGTTTATATTTCAAATATTAAAAGTAAAGAATTTATTATTCAATAACTTCCAGAAAATAATTATTTTACATTAATCTTAATTTCATTTCAGATCAATCTTATGCTAGATTTAATAGTGTTAAAGATTGGTCACCTAATGCTCAAGGTATATACAGTTTCTAAAATTGAATTATATTTTTTATTATTACTGATTAATTTATAAATTAAAATGTGATAACAATCTCCACAAACATAGCAACGAATACGAGTCAATCATTTTCATTAAGTTGTGATTCAGACCTAATCGACAGAATCGAAATGAATGCACAGAATCTCTATTATCCACAGTTGTGTTCATATGAGAGGACATACTCCCAGAAACTCAAGTATGACATATACTTCCACAACAAGACCACTCCCGTGGAGGCAATTATCCACAAAGTCTTCATCAATGAGTCGCGATGTAATGGTATTGACATTTAAAGCCTTTGATTTGGTTTTAATTAATACATTTATGTTTTCCATCTTTTATAGGAGATCTTGAATTGGTTTCAGTCGGATATATAGAGAAAAGTGTCAATTCGTTATCTGGATTATCATTTCTAGAGGTACTGGAGGGGCATAATGAATATCCCGAGGCGTGCTGTTCAGTGGACGGCATAACTCAACAAATTGGACCCAAACTTATGATTTTGGCCAAAATCGATCCTCAAGTTGTGTCAAAACTTTTCTTTAAATATAATACCGAAAAACTGGTGGAGATTTTCAAGAGCCGATACAGTGCTGATTGTATGGACTGCGCTTATTTGACATATACACCCGGATTATTAGATAGGCACCTCATCATTGAACGATATTCAAGCTCATTGCTACCGACACAATGTATGAGTTGACTATAAACTGAATAAAATGCAAATTAGTTATAATGAAAAGTTTGTTTTAGCCGTAAAGGAGTCATACGTCGAGCACTTAGAAGAGTGTGAATACTTATCGTCGCCTATCATGAAGATAACGGACACACAAAATAATATAACAAAACAGGATTCATGTGATCATATCGATATCATTGACAGATATAAGGCTCGTATCGATACGTTTCAAGTCTTTACATCTGATAATGTCTCACATGTTATATCCGTTCAAATACTCTACGATAAGACCATTCGTAGAAATGGTATGTTTTCAAACAATTAGTGATCAATTGATACTTATTTTCAATGAAAAATTATTTATTAATTATAGGCAGTACTGAAGAAATCATAATCGGTGTCGTGACGAGTGCACCGGCAGATCTGATAGGGGCCGCCTATTTACGTATCGCTGATATACCTAATTTCAATGAGTTTGCCTGTACTACAGACCCGGGTGTTACTAAACTGATCGGAACCACAGAAAGGATATTCGCGAATCTTAATGTGGAAAATCTGTTATCAGTTTTGGATTTGGAGTCAATTATAGTGAAAATCAGAAGCAATCGTATTGTCGACTGTTTGGGTTATGTTAACATTCAGTACAGTCCAGGCCTAATGTCCACTCAATCACCCATTCAATCATATAAGACGCTAAACAATGAGAAAAATCTTAACAAATCAACTCATCCTGGGAATCAGACAAAAGAGATATGATTTTAAAACTTATATTTAATAGATCTTACATTCCTATAAGACATTTTGCAAAACATATACGATATAAGATAATAAACATATAAGATATTATGATTAATAATTTTGTATTTAAGAAAATATTTATAAAAAGCATTTGTAGAAAGATTTAAACTTTTAGGCCTAGCATTGAATAAAATGTTTGGTTGTCATTGAACTTTATATATTTATTTCCAGATTTTAATTTATCATAAAATTGAGGAAAAATAAGGTAATTTTCTTTTCAAAGTGTGTGTTTCAGGTACTAAATCATTAAAAAACAAGAAAACATTGGATTTTGATTTAGTAACAGATTTTTCCATCAGTTCATAAACTTTATTTGCGATTAATTTGAACCATAATTTAAATCTTATTATTTAATTGTAAAATAATTGTTGATTAGTAAATATTATTAAATTTTTAAATAATATATGAACAGTTAATAATTATAATGAACAAATATTTTCATATTTTAATTACAATTTTCACAATTATCATAAATGGTAAGTTTTCAAATTGACTGAATGTTGAATAATATAGTACATTTTTAGAAACTTAATTAAAATGTAAAACAATAGATAAGATATTGGTTCAAAATAAAGAAATTAAATCAACATTGAGCCGGGCTAGTTTAGATGGACCCCTATTGGCAACCTATACATTGGAAGACTTAAAAGGTTTGTCAATTATTTACAAAACTTCGAAATTATTACTATAATTTTTAAAAAATTATCATACAGTATAATATATTATGAGAATCTGTTTTATATTTTTGTTTTATTCAGACACTAACAGAACGGAAAGGGATGTACTTATGTGTGATTCGGGTCCAAACGGGCAGGTAGTAAAA